AAAAAAAAAAAAAAAAAAAATTAATTCAAATGAAAACCTACAACATCCCACAATACTCAGGTGTCAAAAAGAGAGTTCAGAGACTGGCTTTGGCCCATGAACTGCCAATATAGAGGAAGACTGCTATAAATGAAACCAAGATAAGCAAACAGAGTCCAATTGCTGGCCGGCTTCCTGGACACCTGTAGTTGAGCACATGGTGGGAACAGCTGGCCTAATTTGCCCTTTTCTCCCTGCAGGACACCAAGCCATCCTATGTGCACAGTGGCTTTTGAGTTCCATAGTCCTAAGCTAGCTCAACAGAGAACTCCTGGGCAGGAGGCTAAGTTGTCTTCAAATCAGGGAGCCTGCACGGACAGCAACAGTAGAGGAGGAGAGCAAGGGCAGCTGAGAACCCCATCAAAGAGACGACCGTATCATAACTTCAACCAGAACCAACGATGTCTGTTTGAAGGCTTAAATTCTAGCCGGGCGCGGTGGCTCAAGCCTGTAATCCCAGCACTTTGGGAGGCCGAGGCGGGTGGATCACGAGGTCAAGAGATTGAGAGCATACTGGTCAACACGGTGAAACCCCGTCTCTACTAAAAATACAAAACATTAGCCGGGCATGGTGGCGCGTGCCTGTAATCCCAGCTACTCAGGAAGCTGAGGCAGGAGAATTGCCTGAACCCAGGAGGCGGAGGTTGCGGTGAACCGAGATCGCGCCATCGCACTCCAGCCTGGGTAACAAGAGCGAAACTCTGTCCCCCCCCCAAAAAAAAACAAAAAAAAAACTTCTATTCAACCTTGTAAGAAATATAAACAGGTCCCATACTCACTACCAGAAGAAATGTTAGATGCATTTGGAATAGAGCTAAGACATTAGCAATAAGAAAAGAAGCAGGATCTGATTTTTTCCTGCAACTCAAACCAAAACAAAAATTAGACTCACCTACTATCCGTTGCCCATCTTCCGTTCTTAGCCGGACGATCTGCATTTTCACGTTTGTGCCACTGACAGATGCTAGAACACCCTCAACTTTTGTCCAGACACTCAGCACTGAACCACATAATACATAATATGTACGGCAACGAAGACCTATTTCACAAACTAACCCCAAGCTTGCTTTTTTGCAATTGCCACGCCTAAGAAAAATGGGAAATACATATATGTGAGTGTTTGTCAATATATGTATACACCCCCCCCCCAAAGTCAAATCAAATTTTTTTCTTTTTATTTTTTTTGAGATGGAGTCTCCCTGTCACCAGGCTGGAGTGCAGTGGCACGATCTCGTTTCACTGCAACCTCCAACTCCCTGGTTCAAACGATTTTCCTGCCTCAGCCTTCCAAGTAGCTGGGATTACAGGCATGCACCACCATGCCCGGCTAATTTTTGTATTTTTAGTAGAGGTGGGGTTTCACCATTTTGGCCAGGATGGCCTCAATCTTCTGACCTCATGATCCACCCACCTTGGCCTCCCAAAATGCTGGGATTACAGGTGTGAGCCACCGTGCCTGGCTGCAAATTTCAAATAAACAGTTTTGGAATTATTTGTCTTTATTATTTCTTAGATTATAATTCTGTTGGCCTATTGAATTATCCTTTCCAATTTAAGTTATTGGTTTCCAATTTAAGGTTTTGAAAGGACAGTTTTTTCAGGGGACTGCCTCCCTATAGGGTTGAATTAGCTTGGCACAATGGCTCACACTTGTAATCCCAGCACTTTGGGAGGCTGCTGCATGTGGATCATGAGGTCAGGAGATCAAGAACATCCTGGCCATGGTGAAATCCTGTCTCTACTAACATACAAAATAAATAAATGAACAAATAAACAAATAAATAAAAATTACCCAGGCGTGGTGGCACACACCTGCAGTCCCAGCTACTCAGTAGGCTGAGGCAGGGGAATCACTTGAACCTGGGAGATGGAGGTTGCAGTGAGCCAAGACTGTGCCACTGTACTCCAACCTGCCTAGCGACAGAGCAAGACTCCATCTCAAAAAAAA